TTATGCCTAAGAGCCCCAACCTTATCCTTAAAATATCTTAGAAATTGGTTGCACATAACAGGCGAACCCTCAGTGGGCACTGCACCAACTGGATTAACAACAGAATGTATAGTTTTAAAAAGTACTCTCGGGTTACGACTGTTTGTCGCTATAATGTTAGACAAGAATTGAGTTTTTGCCTTTTTTACAGCCTCCTGATAGCAAGGAGACTGACTCTTAAAAATATCCAGCGAGACATGCAATCCGTCTTTTAATCTTGGCTACCTCTAGATTATCTTTGTACCCCTTATAACTCCAAATAGTTTAGAATTATTTCAGAATGATAAAACCCAAGAACCTCTTCCTAAAAACAAGAGGATATTTTGTGAACTGGAACAACTCCTGCTGCCGGTGTTGTGTTAAAATCCATTTCCCCATTGAGATGTTCTTTCCCAAACCTGAATCCCAACATTATCCTAACAACCAGTGAGGGGGGTACTACATGAAACTGAGTTTTGAGCAGAGGAAACACATCGATGGGGGAACAAAAGACTGACAAATAAGCTATGTTTTCAACAGTGACAATACCTCAAATCCCACCATACATGTTCAAGCCACAACATGAAAGTGGACAGCAGGATCAACGAAATATGAAAGTGGACAGCAGGATGAACCACAACAGCATTAATTAATCTGAATGTCTCCTCCATAGATAGGTAAACATCGTTATATGTACCAATGAAAAGAGATGTGTAACACTCTAAACAAAGTGGGTAGTTGAGAAACCCCATGTTTTATCTGGCATAATGCAGACATAGTAACTTCTCCAGCCTTACAACAATTCTCTCTAACGTTACAGAAACAAGGTATTAACAGACGCAGTGTGTTTTTTTGTTTTTTTTTTTTAACTTACCGTTTAATCCCACCAAGTAGTGGAAACATCGCTCCCTTCCAAGTAGCTCTAAGGTCGGTAAATCAAACTGGTGGTCGCTGCGTCTTCCCCCACATGACCACATACAGTCCCAAAGTAGTGAAATTAATTCCAACAGGTAGCGTAGCACCGACAATAACATCATGGGTTGTTAATGCACTGGTTAACCAGCAACACATCACATGCGGCAGACACACTGGCCTCAAGCTGTCAGAGCAAACAGGTACTGTGGTCCAGGGGGAATCCAGCCTTGATCAGCTGATCACTAACTGCGGTGGTGGCTTCACAGGCCGGCTGCTTGTAGGTTACACCCAGTCAGGTAAAACAGTGAGTCCCTGTACAGGAACATTCCCAAACATGCAGTAACCTCATGCCCTGTATTTTACTCCACATCCTCTGGTCACAGTGCAGCAGCAGGAGGGAAGATATGCGACTGTGGATCAGTGGGTAGAGCAGTCTCCCAACCGGAGGGTCGGAGGTTCGACTCTCGGTGCCTGCAGTCCACACGTCGAAGTGTCCTTGGGCAAGATACTGAACCCCCAAGCTACCCCCAATGGTTAGAGCCATCAGTTGAGTTGGCGCCGCAGATGGCTGCCTCAGTTCTGTACCGGAAACAAATTCCTTGGGTGTAACATACTTGGCCAAATAAAGGTGATTATTATTATCCTTATTATATCCACAAAACCTGGCACAGTTGAAAAATTCCACTTTTACAATGGCACCAGTGGATGTCAGCCAAACTCACATGAACGGCCTGGATTTTATGCCCATTCAAGAAGATCCTTAAACTATCATGTGATACTTTATTTTGTTAGAACAATAAGTAAATGAGTATCACCAGATGTGTATAAACCAAGTTGCTTCTGCAGAGAAATACTAGAACATACGTACACCTCATTGTTTAGTTTTAGGTTACTTCTAAGATGATAATTCACCGTTTTATCAATGTAGATAAGACCAGGAAAAGCACCTTTGTAAATAGTGCCTAATCAGACTGTGGTGCTTTTAATCTGAAACCCCAATTTCTCTAAATATTTTAACTTTCTTTGTTTGTTTGGGGGAGCATAGCTGTCTCCCAGCAGTTCGGCTTTAAAGAAAGAACTTACCTCGGTGCAAATGATCTTGGAGCAGATTTTAACCAGAGCCTCCTTGAAACCGGACAAATGCAGTAGGCGGTTCAGGGCACAGGTCAAGTTCTTCTTCTGCAGATACCCGCAGATCTGGGAAATGAGTCCGCAGCGGGCCGGAGGACGGTCGAGACAGGGGGAGGGTGAAGGATAGCGTGAGGCATAGTCGTGTTCGTTACGTCTCTTGAGCTTTTTCGGAGGCGTGGGTTCTTCTGGGTCCACATAAACTCGTCTGTTCCCGTCATTCTTGGTTTTCTGGAACACTAGCTTCACACAGGAGAAACACTTCTCTGGGGTTCAGATCTGGGAAAAGCTTCTGAGCACTTTCGAGATCGGTTATTGACAACAGAGACTGTCTTTTATATCCCGTGGTTCGTCTCTCGGTTGGAGCGGAGCTCCATGATGATGCTTACGCCTCATTGAGCCGCGGCTAGCTGCTTCACGGAGCGCAGTTACTGCCTCTAACGTCCACAGTCTTCCTCCAGATGTGCTTCTCAACCGTGACATTGTCAGCACAGTTTTTATATAAGAAAATACAGTAGTTTCTGTGTAGCCCTCCAAGTCCATCTGATCAGATATGTCCTAAAGTGTTTGTTCAAAACATTCCTGCACCTGAGCCAGAGCCTGGTATGGCCATCCTTTAATGAGTTTTGCATTTGGCTTTGCTTGCCTCCTAATGGAAATGTAGACTGGAATCAGAAGCAATGAACAGTAATCAGAGAGCCTGAGGTGTGGAACAGGCAAAAAGCAGTCAGAATTGTTTGCAACGTGAACACTTTAAAAAAACCTTTTACACCTTTAGGATGGAAAATAACTTTTACAGACAATATAATTTGACAGTAAAGGGACAAGTTGTATTTTGGTACCCTGTTTCAAACTCATAGTTTATCATTGTCTATCATTACATTCTCTTTAGTTCTGACCTGCTGCCAGATGTAATCAACCTCTGCACCTCAGTCTTCCCTCTATCTGACACGGTGAAAAACCTCGGAATAATTTTTGATGGTGGTTTTACTTTTGAGAAACAGAGTAGGGCAGTGGTTAAGTCTTGTTTTTCTCAGCCAAGACTCTTAACGAAGGCTAAACCTTTTTTGTCACATGGAGATCTGGAGAAGGCTCTTCACGTGTTTATTACTTCACGGTTAGATTATTGCAATGCCTTGTATGTAGGAGTACCCCAGACTTTGCTTCAGAAATTACAATTGGTCCAAAATGCAGCAGCTCGGCTGCTATCCCATGCTTCCAGGTTTGCCCATATCTCCTGTTTCGCCCCGATTTTTCGTTCTCTTCATTGGCTTCCGATCCAATTTGGAATTAAATTTAAGATCCTATTGTTTGTGTTTAAGGCTATTCATGGTCTCGCCCCATCCTACCCATCTGACCTGCTGTCAGTCTATGTGCCAAGGAGAGCTCTTCGCTCCACTGATCATTTGTTGCTGGCGGTGCCGCGCTCCTGCTACAAAAAATGGGGCGACTGATCTTTTTCTATCTACGGCCCCAGACTGTGGAATGCTCTTCCGGTAGAATTAAGGGCTGAAAGTGAGCTAGTGGCCTTTACGTCGGCCTTAAAAACTTACTTTTGAGACCTAACCGGTTTTACTGTTAAAATTTTAGTCATGGTTAGTATTTGTGTTTGCACCTACCTGTTTTTTGCTAGTGTTATTGTTTTGTGTGTTTTTACTGTACAGCACTCTGGTGCTCCTGGAGCTGGAGAGCGCTATAGAAATAAAGTTTATTATTATTATTATTGTGCAGCAACAGTTTCCTCTTCATGACTTGCATTTTTTGTTTTAGGAAAGTTTCCTGATGCTGTGAATTTCTGGCTCGGAGAAGCAAGTGCCATCACCTCCAGTAAGAGTCGAGCTCCTTACATCTGTCACATACTGTGTGTTTGTTGTGTATAAACTGGTTGTTTTTCTGTCTCAGTGCACAAAGATCACTATGAGAATCTGTACTGTGTCATTTCTGGAGAGAAAAACTTCATCCTGCTGCCGCCCACAGATCGACCCTTCATCCCCTATGGTAACCAGCCTTCCCACTCTCCATCACTTACAGTAACCATAGTAACAATCCTCCTTCCCTTTCAGTAACCACAGTTCTCACTCTTCTTCCCTATGGTATCCATAGCAATCATTTTGTATCCCCTACAGTAACCATAGCAGCCTTCTTGTATCCCTATGGTAATCACAGCAACCATTCTATTAGGATAACCTTGTAACCACACAGTGCATTGTACAATAACCATAACAACCACCTTCTATGATCAACAGCAGATACGGTTTCCCTTGGCAACAACCCCACGGCACCATCCAGTACAGTCGCCATTATCCATCTCTGTTACTATAGTAACCACTGGCAGTAACCATAACTGTCTCTATATCAGGTGTGTATCAGCCAGCTGTTTACCATCAGCATGACAACGGTGAGTTCGAGGTCGTCGATCAGAGCAACTCTGAGAAGGTGAGCGCAGGTGTCTGTTAATGTCAGTGCTCAGTGCACTTCTCCTTGTTACACTTCCCCTCCTCCCCCCCAGGTCCCATGGATCCCTCTGGACCCTCTGGACCCAGATCTAGAACGGTACCCTCAGTACCGGAGAGCTCAACCAGTCTGCTGCAGTGTGAAGGCAGGAGAGATGCTGTACCTGCCCTCCCTGTGGTTCCACCACGTCCAGCAGTCACATGGCTGCATTGCAGGTAAACTACACCTGAAAGCATGCCACAGTCTGTTTAATCAGCAGTAAACACACTGCGCAAACATGCTATGACACTGTGCATCGTGTTTGACTTAATGTCAGTGTTTTGTTTTTCCAGTGAACTTCTGGTACGACATGGAGTACGACATCAAGTACAACTACTTCCAGCTGTTGGAGACACTGTGTGATACCGCTGGGTCCACGTGACATCACCACAGCTGCATAATGTCATAGTGTGAGCACAATGAAAATCACCCGAATGACAAAGCAGGTATACAATAAAGTTTTGTTTAGAAGTCTGCAGAGACTGAAGTCTGAGTGATATGTCTGACCTGATTAAAGTGACAGAATATGATCCATAACACCTGGGGCACAGGTGAGTAGGAAAATGAACAGCATCAGTTTCACACAAATGACTTTTCAGCCTAAATCATTAGCAATATTTTGCACACAGATTACTCTTCTGACTGAATCTGTGAATTAAATGACAAGTGCAGTGTTTTTTAAACAAGACCAATAGAGAAAGCACTTTATTAAAGCAAAACATTTAACAGAAAAAAATTCCAACAGCCAGCAGACGCAAACCAACACACCTTAAAAACATATCTCTGAAGGACATAGTTTCTTCTGATATTCTTTTTTTATATAATCTCTACTTTCATATTGCATCATCTCCGAGAACAGTCAAGGCCATGTTTTCTCTTTTCCCACCAGGAAAATTTAAGTTAGAACATAAAGTGTTGTTAAAGGTGAAGAAGAAGAAGGTCAAGCCATTACAGAATCGCTTCTCAGAAACTGATTCTGCACAACGTAAACCCAAACAACATGCACCTATAGTTCACTCTGGATTTAGTTTAGTCCTGGCGCTCGCTGAAGTCCCCCCCACCCACCAGACCAGGAAAAAAAAAAAAGGATGACTGTTAGTGTGAATGGATCTGCTGAGTCCTGGTCAGACCAGAAACATTCGAACAGGTAACGTCTTCAAAATGAACATGAACCCATTCTCAACTGCTGGTGCCTAATTTTCTGGTGACTGATTTGAGGAGATGGGCATGGGAATAAAAGAGGTGGTGAGGATTTGGTGACACCTGCAGGATCACACCTGTGGACTGGGACACATGGCACTAGAGCAAAAACAATCTGTCCATCCACAGAAGACAGTACTATTCACTGTGTTCAGTTTGTTTTCAAGTGAAACTCAGTTTTGATGATGTCACCTATCACAGATATTTGCTTTCTGCAAATTAAGTCCCTTCAGAATAAAACCTGTCCTGCAAACTAATTTCCAACTGGAGAGTTTAAAGGGATCAACCCCTCAGTTCAAACACCCAACTGTGCATCACAAAACCATCTCTACTCAAGCTCCACTTATTCACCGATTCTGGAGCTTTCAGTCAGGGGCCCGTGGTCTTAATCAGCAGACTGGATTTACTCAGTTTCTACCAAAATGTACAAAATAAAAGTTAAGAATAAACATGAACAAAACGTGCTCCGAATAAAGAAGAAATGGCAACTGAGCTTGTGCTGCTGAAGACCATGCGAGGTAGCTGAAAGCAGAGCCGCCACTAGGTTCATCATCAACAAAATTATTTCAACTGAAGTGATCAAATGTTGAAAGTGAAAAGATGATGGTGGTAAGAAAGTGAAACCATGACATCGTGTCACTGTTTTATGTTACAGACCAAATGAGTGAGTAATCAGCTGATCAATCAATAATGAAAATACTCACTGGGCGTAGCCCTGCTTAAAGCCCCAGGAAACAGCGAGAGCAGAGCTCGAGTTTTTCAGCAGCCGTTTCTGGATTGAAACTCAGTAGATACCAATATGGTCACATGATCACTGCTCCCATGTGCTACGTGGTTGTGTGGAGTTTGGTTTGACCTGCAGACTAGTGACACTGGCTGTTTGCCAATTTCCATTTTACCGTTACCTGACTTTAAATGGAATCACTTATGTTTTTCTTCCACAGATTTCAAATGAACATGTGACCAGTTAGATTTTCTCCAGTCACTTTGATCCGTTCAGATGTGATTCTGCACAGATCTGACTGACTGTGAAACTTATGAATTTGTGCGCTCTGGTTGGTCGACTTTGATCTGAAAATACCACTTGATCTTTAGTTTCCCGCATCAGCGGGTTTATCCGCATACTCTGACAGAGAAGAGTCCTGGCAGGGACTCCTCCCCGTTACTAACCAGAGGCTGATCTGTTAACGAACTGCTGATGTAAGGAGAACTCAGGTGAGCAGCAGGGGGCGCCACACTGTTCTCAGAGTGCATGAAGATGAAAGACTTTCTTAGAACAAACTGAGCTGCTCAGAAACATGATGTTTAAAAACCTCAGAGGTGAACTCTGGCTTTCATGTCCACAGCTGGACACACAGCCCACGCACCAAATTTAAAAACCAGAGTTTACCTTTAGTTTTCCTTCTTTTAAATACAGCATGTCAGATTTAGGGCTGCAACACTTTTCATTGAATAACTGATTATTTGTCATTAAAAATAAAGATGAACAGTCCCAGACTCCAGCTCCTCAGACGTGCCGACCTGACAGACGGTACAGTTACCTGAACACTGCTGCTGTCACTGTGTACTGGAAATAATCATTTCAACCAATTATATAACTTTTGACAACAAAACAATTCACTGACTCGTTGAGAGAATCAATCCAATCAGTGGATACTAAACCATCAGGTAACTGCAGCTTCAGCGTTAAGGAAAATCAGACCTGCCGTTGCATCACGGGAGCAGCTGATGTGACCTCTCAGCCGTCGTCGTCATGGCTCCTCCTGTAGATTGGCATGTTGATGCTGTGGAACACCGGCACCCAGCGGT